GCTAGTACAAGTAAGAAAACCTTACACAGAATATATCAGATGAAATAGTTCTGCCACAACAAGGTCCAAGACCAGTGATTAGTGTCTTTAAGGCTAACTAATATTTTCTTTAAGGAATTTTACACATATAAGGTCTTGATTTTAGATACATGAATTTAATACTTTTTGAGATAAACTATAACACACAGAGTGTCTAAGTATTGAACATTACCTTTATCAGTTTAAGCCACAGTAGCTAACCTGCTGGACTGAAACACATGGACCAGCCTTTGCTTCTTGTGCACCAATGAGCATCAGCTGCTCCTGACCCTGTGGTCAGCTCATCATGCTTATTTTCTTGGACTCCTCTGATAGATTGGAAACGCCCAAGAAGAGCTACGTTTTGAAGATCTTTTGACCCAATCCATCCATCACAGCTTTGGTTCTTTTCAAGCCTGACATTTTTCCTGCTTCTAGCACATTAGCACCATTAAAAATGTTTAATGGATTATTTATGTGTACAAGATGTCCAAGCTAGTAGCACTGCTGTCCAGTCCTTTTGGGAATGTAAGCTGATTTTTTTTATATGTGTGTTTAGTGGGTCAGTTGTGGATCCTATGAGGAGCTTCCTGTTCATGGAGGAGATATTGGACAAACTGTCTTGGACATTTGGTAGTAACACATTGCAGTTCCTTGTGTGTACAGATACAAACAGATTATTGTTCTGCAGAATACATGTGCTGCAGGTTGCGTGAGCACAGCAGCGCTGGGGGAGATGGCATTGAGTCAGTGTGTGAGCTGCAGGGCAGCAAAGTCTTCCTCTATCACTAAGTCAGCTACTGATCTCATTTTTCCTCAGATGGACTCTTAACACAGTCCCATCAGGGGACAAATATATATTTCCTCTGTCTCTTTTCTCACACATCCCTTCACCAGCGACCTTTTCTTCTTATTCGTCTCACACACCCTTACTGTGTCTTTATCTGGGTCCCTTGCGCTTCTTGTGTTTTTTTTCCATTCTTCTTTTGACTGTCTTTATTATCCTCGACCACCTATATCCGTCTCATTCTTTTGTGAATGTAATTTTTCTCTTTATGTCTGGCTTTAGCTCCCAATCACTTCATCCTGTAACACAAACCATTAACCTCTCTCCTCCTGCTCTGATCACTCACAGCCAACAGGTGCTGTAAATTGTGTCCTCTGGCTAGCTGGCTACCGCAGTCGGTCCCGCGTGCATTTATCCGTTTGCCCTGCCTCCATCCCTGCTCTTTCCCTTCTCCTTGAGTCATCCCGCCAGCTCCTGCCCCAGTTTGTCAGTGAAGCAAAACCGAGTATGTCTCGGATCCCATCATTCATCTCTACCCCATCCTGTCACACCAGCGACTTGGCTGCTCTCAGACAAATAGCATCACAGAAGATAATACAGCCAGAGCAAGAAAGATGGCAAATAAATGGTTCCCGCTCTGCCGGCCTAATGGTCCTGCATCCTATTTGGCCAGGGGACAGACTTTAGCTCTGGAACTTCACCAACACAAACAGCAGAGTCCGTAGTCTTCACCTAACATGAACAGAGCCGGAAAAAGTATACGCCTCTTAAAGATTCATTTTCTGTCATGTTTCGGATGATCAAAAAACGTTTCATAATAAAAACTAGTTAGGAGCTTCCTTCTTGTCTTTCTTGAGAATACACATTTGTTTCCTCTTGAAATTCCTATCAAGAATTTCCTGTTACATTTCCCCATTCACCGTTTCTTGAAGAATATGAAGTGTGTCAGTGCTAAATGCTGTGAGGTAGCCCACATCATCATGTTCTAAACTGGATATTACTGATTTAAAATGTGGAAAGAAAGACCCAGCTTTTATAATAATAATAATGCTTCAAGCAGAAAATCATTCATGGATAGACTTCAGGATTGTTTGATCCATTGGTATTTTATTTTTCACTGTGCCAGCCGCCATCTTGGATGTAAATTCTGCTTTTAGGGTTAAATATAAGTTGGGAATGTGGTGTGTGGGCCAACTGATGCAGTTTAAATGATGCATGCTGTCCCCCCACTCTTCAACCCCTCAGATCTCCTGATTCACTTTAAATTTTACTCTCAATTGACACAGAACCTGAGGAAACGACAAAAGAATTACGAACCCAACAGAAAATAGACTAACATAAGAAAAACTCAAAATAAAAACTCTGCAAAACAAGAACATAAAATCTATGAGAAACACCTCAGTTAGGATCTGAAAATCATAATCAAACTTCTTCATGTAAAGAATAACTAAATATAATCCTAAATACACGTCTCACTGGATCATTTCATTTTTCAGGAAGAAACTAATTTGACTGAGTTCACTCCATTGATTTCACACTGGAGCTTCTTGCCACATGGCTCTGTGTAACAAACCATCTGGCCCATCAGGTCACTTTTCAGACATTTGGTAAATTGACCGATTTTGCCGTTTCTCCTGCTAAATTTGATCCGGAGTGTCGTTAAAAACAAACGGACTGGCTAGCTTTAAAAAAACACTCCTTAATTTTAATGTTCTGCTCAAGATTTGTAGATTTTTGACTCATCATCCATGTAGGATTTTAACGTGCCACTACAATGACTGCTGGCTGCATTGTTTCTTTCTTTCCTTCTTCCCATCTGTCACTAACATGCCTTTCCATTTTCCTTGATCATGGCTTGTGTTGTCGTCTCCTCTCCCTCAGCATAATGAGTCAGTGTATGATGCTGGATGGCTGTTGACAGTGTGTCCTATGACTCACATTGGGGTGGTACTGCTGTCCCAGCACATCTCAGCGTTCCCCATCCATCCAGCCTCTCCGAATCCTCCCATCGCTCCTCCACTTCTCCAGAGAGTGCACCTTTCTGAAGGCATCAAGTCTCCAAGGCGGATCTTATTTAACTGTGGAAGCAAGAATAAACAGCTAGGATGAACATTGGGGGTTTTATTTTGCTCTGTAGAATAAAGGAAGTAAAAAAGAAATAAAATAAATGGAAAAAGCTGTAAGAACAAAGCACACATAAAGGATGAAAAGCACCACTGTTGGTCTGAGAAAAGTCAAATAATGATGAAGCCGTCGTAACATGGGACTGCGAATGTGTGTTTAGTTGTTTGGCTAAATCAACAAAGGCATAAATATTACTCTGTAAGCTTTTGTGATGTATTCCACACAGTTCCTAAAGTAAAAAAAAAAACATTTTTTTTCCAATCCATTAAGTTTGCACCAAATGAGTCATCATGAACCGTGACTGTCTTCAGTGGAAACAAACAAAAGAAAGATTTTCTTCAATCTAAGATTTCTGCTGTAGTTGTAGATCCATTTAACACAGACACCTTGGCGTGTTTTATGTAAATACTTCACTTAAACACTGCTGCTTTAAAGGGCCTCCGCACTCGTAAACCTTGACAGACCCCCGGGCCTCGCCGCCGCCTGTAAAACACCGGCTGTTTTATGGATGCATACCTCCACCAGTAAACGCTTTTCTCTGACCTTCTGGGAGAGAACAAAGAGCACAGAAGGACCAGATTATATAGTCGCAGAAGGGAAAAATCATTGTTTTCATGCAGCCACGTTCTTAGGCATAGAGGCATGTAAAATGTTGAATAAAACTAATCTATACTGTGTTGAATGTAAGGCCATGTTCACAAGTCAACGTCCAGAGGACAACACCAGGTCAAAGACTGAAGGCCTTAAATAAATACAATGTAAAACACCTAATATAACATGTCAGACATCATTGGACCACCTTAATATCCTGAAACAGCCATTAACCATTAGGCTCACTGATGAGGTGTGGAGGCAGAGATAGCTTCAGATAATTGCTGCCCTCTGATAAGGTCAGTGACACAGTGCCTTCAATAAGTGTTTGCCCCCTTACAAATTATTTTCTTTTTTTTGCTGTTTTCTCACACCTAAATACTTCAATCAATCAAACAACTTCTAATATAGGCCCAAGACAGCCAGACTAAACACAAACAATAGATCTTAAGTTAGTAATTAATTTCTTAAGCTATGAGATATAAATATGATCGACTGTTCTGTTGAATTAGAAATTAACTATTATGAATCTCTGTTCAGTTTCACTACCTACAGCCAGGCCTGATTGTAGCAAAACCTGTCAGTTAAGCTGTCTGAAAACACAAAGTAAAACAATTAAGGTTGTTTTCACACCAGATGGTCTGGCAGACTCGGTTCAATTGGGGACCAAAATTGCAACATTTGTTACATTTTTTTCTGGTGCATTTTCTCTTTCACACTGCACTGAGTCAACCTGTTCCCCTCCCCGCCTGTGGTGGCGCTGCACCAAGAACCACCGACGGAAACAACACAAAAACCTCTGAAGAAGACATAAGCTCAACTTCCTTTTTTTATTTAATTCATTTAAATAAAAATCGAGTAGTGTCAGATTTTAGTGGTTGTAGGATTCTCAATTACCTTTAATAAAGAACCATGAGCCATTTCTCCCGCTAGAGCTAGGCTAGCATGTTTGCTTTGGTTGTATTTACCCAGAATGCCCTGCAATGTAGTCCAAATCAAAACCTAAATTTGTAGGCGGGCCAGAGTTCATTTTCTGGTCTACATCAGGTTCGATTGCACATTCACATCTTGGGAAACGAATCAAAATTTCAAGACAAATGCACTACAGTGTGATTAAAATGGACTAAACATGGCTGGTGTGAATGTACCCGTTAACATGATTTAAAGCTCCAAAAGTCAATTTTGCATAACATCCTCCATTTAAACTAAAAACCAGCGTTTGAATGTCAATGTAACCGTACATTTTAATGCGTCATCTCCCAGCAGGAAGTGCTGTCCTGAGGCTTCCTGTTGCCGCCCCCTGCTTGGACCTGTTTTGAATGCAGACAGACATCATGCTGTCCTCTCACTGCCGCTGTCATTGTGGAGCCAAAGTTCTTTTAATCACAGCGTTGCCCCAACCCACCATGATTTAGTATCTCTCCTCATCCATAGGCATCCTCTGCAGCCAATTCAATTGCATTAAAGAGATAAATAACCAGGGCAATAAAAGTGCTGCTTGTGGGTCGAATGGACCCGGGAATGCTCATCGTCCATTTGGTGCAGTAAGCTTGGGTTGGGAGGAGGGGCGGGGGTTTAGGGGGCTTTTAGTGAAAGGTTTTTTAGGGGTGATATTGTGATTGGTGGTGGAGGTGATGCCATGTCATCCATCTTCGGGAGCCACTTCATTTGGCTAATGGAAGAGCTGGACCGCTCCCTACTCGTTGCTCTACCTGAGTGTGTGTGTGTGTGTGTGTGTGTTTGTCCTTCCACTGATGGCAGCTTCCAAGACTAAAGTGGTTATGAAGACGAAAGTAATTTTATTAGCCAGGCACGTAGCGAATCACTGAGTACTGGCATGAATGTGTGACTGTGTGTCTGCATGAACGTAAAGCGTGTGTGTGTGTGTGTGTGTGTGTGTGTGTGTGAGATGGTTTTTCAAAGTGCAGTAATGACCCTGTTCTCCATGATGGGAGACAGTACAGTACCACACTTTGTTCCTTTGATGGTTAAACTGCAGTTAAGCTCCTCCATTGACTTGCAGAGATGTGAAGCAGAAGATCTTCACTGTGCTCTGCATTAATGTCAGGTGAAGACTTTGATTTGTCTCAGAGTTAAAAAAAGACGTCACTTCAAATGATTTTTTTTTTCTGCTGACATGTGAAGGGGACAAATGGAATCACTGTTTGAATTTACAACCCTGTCTGACCGCTTTCTCTTTCTGTCACACCTTCTCTTTCATTCTCATTTTTATCTCTTTTTCTGTCAGTTTTTCCACCTCAAACTCAGACAAATGTCACTCTGAACATGTTCTGGTTTTATGAGGGGTCCCCTGATTTTATTGCTCCTCACATTTCCCAGTAAGTTTTATCCATAAATGTATATTTCCAAAGGTCAAATTGAAATTGTCTTTAACTCGTCTTATTATGAAAGTTCAGTGTATAGATTTCAACTTTTCATTTGCTGATGGGGCTCAACATGCACCCATTTGGATTTAACGCATAGGCAATTCTAATATTATTTTGTTTCTTTTGTCTTATGATTTTTGTGACGGTACTGTCGGCTTTAAAATCCATCCATAGATGACGACACTGCTACTCCGGTAAACAGTTCACTCCTGTGTGACTGTTTCATTTAATTAGTAGAACAAAAAATATAAATCTAATTTCAGCTGAAAAACATAACTGAAACCAAAACCTGCTGTGTGAATGTAAGGTTTTTCCATCTATCCGTCCATCACCCTAACCCAAGTGCATGTTAATTTCTAAAGACTCAAACCAAATTTTTGATCAGTTTTATAGTGGCTGTTTTTTAATTTAAAACCAAAGTACATCCTAAAAGTTGATTTTGTTCCATTCAAAGGAAAGTGGGAGAGAAAAAACTGGATTAATTTCTTGTTCGGTTTTTTTTTTTTTTTTTTTGTCCCTCAACTTCCAAATGTTTGTAGCAGCAAATTATATACTAATATTTTTCCTTCCTTGTTGTAGAACAATTTAAATAGTTTTATTAAAATTGTAGCACAGGAATTCTTGGCATGCACATTTTTTGTAGTGGAAAAAATATGCTTGCATGTTTTTATGGGTGCATTCACACTGCAGCCTGAAGTGACCCAATTCCAATTTTTTTACGTAATGCGACCTGTATCCGATCTTTTCATGGCAGTGTGAACAGCACAGGTCGGATTCTTTTTCGAATGTGACCCATATCCGATAGTATCCGATTCGCATTCATCCGAACTGAACGTCACTGATTCTCAACAAATCTCACTCTTCTGTGTCCTGATACGCGCAAGCGGGAAGAAAAACAACCATGGCGGATTATATGAGGATTAGGTTGTTAATATTCTGCTCCGGTCGGACAACAACTTCTAATATGTAAGCTAAGCTTCACCGTTAGCCTCCATGTTTACTTCCGCAAACACTGAGCACTTCTTCTTTTTATGGCGGTTGGCAGAACACTGAGAACGCTGACGCTATGGCGCCCTCTACTGCGCATGCGGGACACTTTCAGGTCGTTTGCCCGTTCAGACTGCAGAACGCATGCAGGTCGCATTTACTGTTCTAGATTTAATTTGTGAATGTGCTATTTGTGGATTAAATTCTGTACTATAGAGGAAGAGAAAACCTAAGATGTGCTGTACTGTTTAGTTAGAAACATGTGTTTCTCTAGGAAAGTACATTTTAAATAGCAATAACTAGGTTAAGCATATGCAGAGTGCTCCCACAGAGGGATGTAAATGAGGGGAAATGTTGTTATCCTTTGCAAGGCTCTGCTATCTACCACATATGGACACCTGCACCGAGAACAAAAATAATCGAAAAGCGGATTATCATCGCAAATAATTGGAGTAAGTTTCTGTTGCTGATATTAACCAGCTAATAAGTAACTCATCCAGGATTGTGCATTTGTATGTTATACTGTCATAAAAATGTTGCTTCAGTTCTTTGTAGGTAGATGTGATATGTGACACATAAAAGACATCGCTCTCCTGTCTCCTGCAACAGATTTGTTTTTTTATGCAATAAGAGACAACATCATTAAAGGTTTTTGCTGTCAGGGATTTTATTGTTTTGATGTTTCCTTTGGGCTACAAGTGACAGGCTGGGATTTGAAAAGAAATGACTGTGACAATTTTATCTTTATGGTTTCAGGAAACTTTAGTAGACAGTGAATTATGAAAGTATTCACATCCTTTCAACTCTTTCACATCTTTGCCTTGTTGCCACCACAAACTCCAATGTATGTTACTAGGATTTTATGTAACAGAAAGTCATGAAATATTGTTGCGTGGAAAGAACATTACAAAGTATTGATTCATGGGGCTTGACTAGAAATAAACTGTGAGCTTTTCAACATTTGATTCCTAAAAAAAGTGCAGTCCCCCAGAATCATCACTTCTAGAGTCATTTTCCTCTTCAATTACAGCTGCCAGTTTTTGTGGACATTATGTCTCCAAAGGTTTTGGGCATCGAGAAATTAAAAGTTGTGCAAATTTAAGTTCTTTGTAAAAGAGCTAGAAAAACTTATTTATTGGTGAATAGACTTTAAAATACTGATGTTAGTTTATAAATCACTGAACAGCTTCATGCCACAATACATAAAATGTCTGCTGATGTATCAACCTTTTCTCTCAGGTCTTCTGGTTCTGGTCTGCTCTGCATCCCCAGAACCAGAGCCAAACACGGAGAAGCAGCATTCAGCTTCTACGCACCATAAATCTGGAATAAACTCCCAGAAAACTGCAAAACAGCCAAAAGAGTGCCTTTAAATCTAGACTAAAAACCTATCTGCTTACAGTTTCCTTTGATTAGAACAATGACCAACATATTTGACATGTATGGATGATTTTGATGATGACATTTGACAAAATGTAATGTTTACAGCTTGTTTCACAATTGGTGACTATGATTTCTTTTATCATGTAAGGCACCTCGAACTGCCTTGTTGCTGAAATGTTGCATACAAATAAACTTGAACTTTTAGTATGTTAATGTAAGACAATAAAATGTTTTTGAAAATACACTTAATAAAACCAGACACTGCAGGGCTTTGGAGTCACTGACAGGCAGGCGCTGAATTGTTTATTTACATTTAACAGCCTAAAGAAAAATCCCCATATTAACCTGCACTCATTATGCGTCCAGGGCTTTGTTTTCACACACTTACTGTCTCTTGTCAGGAGCGACTTTGCATTTTGAGGCGCAGCGCTTGCCGGGCGTGTGCGCAGTGCGCACAGCTCACTGCGGTGGCCTTTAACGCCTGTCCTCGGTGCAGATCGATTTTGTGCCTAGCCAGCAGCCCGCTACTAACCTTGAGGTAAGCTGGCGTAATGAGATCGCATCTGACGGCATTGACTCACACCTGACAGCACTGACACTCTGCTCGTGGCGAGGGAGTGACATAGATGGGCAGAGATGGAAAAGCTGGATCCTCTGCGGCACACAGCACTGTGGAAAGCTTTGATTTGTTTCCTTTTAGTTTAATTGTGACGTAAACATTTTGGCCATACATATAAATAACCATAGAGTTGTCAGCCATCTGAACATGGATTAGTACTTAGATTTTACAGGTAAATGCCATGTCTGTGGCATACATAATGCTGCTGGTTCAGAAATAAATTCATTAAACACACACGTTGATAAGATGAGGCTTGATCATCTGACTGCTGGTAATTGAAACAATAATGGGCATAGTAACAGCTTGGAAAATAGCATTGATCCATCATCTAAGATGGCTCCTCTTTGTACAATAAAAGCATGATTCAATCGTGAAGCGGATATTGCTCCGAGTCATGCTGAGGTCTTGTTGGCTAATTGAAAAATAAATTACAGAAATGAGGGTTTTGTGCTGTGAACAGGAGTGAATCTCTCACCTCGGATCCCTCCAGAGCTCTGTATCTCTAAAGAAAGATTAGCCGAAGACATGGCATGATTTTTGTCGGAAGTGTGGAATTGGAATCCAATTGCAGTCTACCTACATACAGATGTAGCCTAGTAAGCCAGTGGGACTGAGATCGATAGGAATCTAACGGCTTTAACTCCTGTGCAGCTCAGAGACATCCCTAGCAGGTCTTGTTTTTATTTCCACGATGTCTACAGATTCTTACTCTTTCTGCTGCTGCTGACTCTCACTGACCTTGATGTATTTCTGCTTTGCTAATGTCCAGCCTCTGCTGGTCCTGTGCTGCAGCTAGCCTATAGACAGAGACCTGCTGCACTGGATGAACGCGTAGAAAATGAGATCAGTGACCTACAGCAAAGGTTAGACTTCAGTAAGCCAGAGCAGTTAGACGTTGGCGGGTGGAGAGGTTGTGGGTTTAATAAACGGCTGCTGGACGTAAGCCTGTTGTTTTAGCTCTGTCCTAGCAGTCTGGCATGTTGATGTTTGTGCATGTGTGTGCTTGATGCTACTGAGGCTCACAGGGCGGTAGCTGGGCGAGGCTGAAATGTTGTTATTGATTACACACAAAGGTTGTGATGGAAAAGCAACAAACTGGGAATGGATCCTATGCCAGGTGTGCACATGTGTGTGTTTGAGCATGTGAGACCCAGCTGTGCTGTCTGTCTGCATCTTACTAATCCACTAGAGGAACAAAAGGATGCAGGGCAAGAGGACAAAACAAAACGTTACGTTTTGATGTGGTAAACTTCTATTTTAAACTAGAAGGCTGTGACCCCGTGGTGAACATTTTAAGCCGCCTTCAGTGTTCATTTGGGATGGAGGTCACAATTAGAACATTTCTGGCAATTTGTGTTTCTGCCTTCAAAGAGAAACTCCCATTAAAACTGTAGTTGATTATGCAAACCCATTCAGCAGACACAAGTGAGTGAAAGTACAGCTGGGGGATTTCAGCCAACAAGAGCAACAAGTGCAGCTGTAGTTTGCATGTTGGAACTAAATGCTGGAGCAATCAACAAGACAACCCTGCCTCCTTAAAGCTCATGGAGAGTCAGCTGAAGGTCTTGGTCTACCAACACTGAGGGTCTTCTCATACTCTATGTCAGGGGTGTCAAACTCAGTTTCACTGAGGGCCACTTCAGCATATTGGCCCCCCTCAACGGGCCA